AAAGGGAGTGCGTAGGGTTTCTCGAATGTAGCAATTAGTAAGTTGTTATGTTTTGGCGAATTTAATATTCGTTCCTGAGGAAATTGCGAATTTATACCAGTACATGAATATTTATGGTTGTTTTCCGATATGTGTTGGAATATTCGAAGAAATCGTTGGATGGTGTTGAAGTTGTGTGTAACTGGGACAACTTCGTTTGTAACGAGCACGATATTTACATTTCACATTACGCTCGAACGTGTGAGATCACTTTTTCGATAAGAAGAAAAATCGAGTTTTTTGCATCGAAATATTTTTTGAATGTGTAAAAATTGGTAAAAAATGTAGTATAACGTTGATTCGTATGAAGATTCGGTTTCATGGCGACTGGGTTTTGGAAATTTATCGGGCATACGTGTGCTTGATTGCCAGGTGATTTATGTGGCCCGTCCATTACTGACTAATTCTACTTATGGTAATGATTGTGTACGTTCGCCGCGCTATAGTGATATCTGTTTTCCGCAATAATTTGATATAAACTGATATTTGAAAGATAATCGATGGTGAGCAGATAATACCGTGCCAACGTCAGCATTCATTACAAGTCGAAATATCGAGCGATGGACAAACACGCTAGTCACATAATATAATTTTTATATAAAATGTAAACTACATTTCTCGTTCATTTTTACACATACAATCTTCTGTACGATTGTTCTATTACGTCTGAAACATCCCGTATATTATCGCAAATATGAATTACCATTAACTTTATTATATTGTGGACCTTTAATAAATGAAACAAGTGTCTTAATTGTAGTTCGAAAAATCAATCTATAAAAATCTGAATTTTCATAAATACCGTATTCTAATTAAGAATGACTATTACAAGTGATCCCATAGTTTCGAGCTGTACCATTAACACACATTCCAGTCTACAGTACAAAACTAGACACAAAAGTAAAGTGCAAAGTACAAAAGTAACCACATTTCCCTATAACATATTTCAGTGAATATCTGATAGATGAATATACATTACTACTAAATGTTCTCCATACTCCAGAAACAATAAAAAATTCCAATACAGAATAAGGTTTCCTCTCAAACTTGTTCCATAACACTGCCTACTGCAAAAAAACCCCGATAAAATATTCTCTCTGATTAAATCACAGAAATTACAGAATAAGCATTACGAATCGATAATTCTGCGCGTTCACAGTTTGTTATAAACGAAACCAACCGACAATACGTGTACCGTAAAATCATAAAATCACATTGGCCGTACTGTACTCGCCCGTTATGCGGTTTGCTTTGCGTCTGTGTGGTCGTGTGTAACTGCGCCCCGATGGCATATCCGTTCGATTATGGAACTATTGCGGACATATCGTGTTATGCCGAATCGGTTATCGGTACACGGAACGCGATCGATCGTTTCGAGATTACGAAATGGTATGCATGTCAGAGGACGAGTACGAGGAAAATCTTAGCACGTGAACTACTCTGCGTATCGTGACGACGTCGCGCGTACGGATCCCGGAGCTTGGTACGTCCCTTGTGTCACGGGACGTTGGATTCCATTGTGCTTGACCGGCCACGAAGGTATTGTGCGAGTTAGGAAACGAAGATCAAATGTGAACGAGGTCTGGGTATCTGTCCCATTAACCTGTTAAACGAGAAAAACGATTTCTACGATTTCTCTTTCTTAGAAATTTATTTACCTGGTTCGTGTCACTTGAATTGGAGCAAAACTAGAATTTTGTGCGAAACGAAGATCAAACGGGATCTGAAGAACTATCCTATTAACTTGTTAAACGAGGAAGACTTTCTATGATTTTCCATTTTCGAAATTATTCACTGGATCGTGTCATTTGAGATGGTGTAAATTAGATATACTGAACCTGTTAATTGGAAGACTAGGAATAAATTGTGCTTAACCCATTTTTGTTTTTTTTCTTATGGCATCAAGGGTCTATAGTTGTCCAATAATAATTTGAAAATCGGCTGAAAAAAAGTCAGAATTAATTGGTTAATCTTTGAACTGAAGACGTACCTTTCGATCGACTATATTGCTCGAGGTTGATTCGTTGAATTTATTTAGTAACATATTACAGTAATAATCTTTATTATCAATCATTTTTAACCATGTCTGTGTGATTTAGGTTTGCTTCACCAATCGAGGCGTCAAAAGGATAGTCATGTTCGAAGTATGATCGTCAGTATCTAGAAACACAAGTAACAAGTCCAATTTTGACTAATCTAGCAACACCCACAGAGCTCCAGGATTTCGTACGCGACTCGTCTCGCCCGTTTCTCACCGGAACTAATCCCTATCGTACTATCAGCCTATATAGTGTGAACTAGCTACGAATACTACAAGATGCACGACAACAATCTTTAATCTCATCGTTCTCCGTTGCTCGCGTAACTTCGTTGAAATCTACTTGCAGCTGTCGGAAGAGAACCGAAACGAAAAAATACTTTCATCGATAATCATCGTTCACACGTTAAGTGTCCCTCGGTTAATTTGCTTGAATCGATCGTGGTTAGAATTCAGAATTCACCGTATTTTTTCCTTATCTCGCGAAAGATTAAAGGAAAGGGAACGTGTTACACGATTCGTGTTTATTATCGACTTTCCCGTTGTCACGTTCATCGGAACGGAATACCACTTGCGCTTTAATAAGCGGCGAACACGTGATATCGATCGTGGAGTAATTTTTTTCGCGGAGATACGTTGCAAAAGCGGAACGGATCTGGAAACACCGTTCCCGTTTCTCCTCACGGTATTACAACGCGTTACGAATCACGCGTAATTATATCGTGTTTCATATAATCTGGTCGTTCGATCTATCCCCCCGAAGATATTCATACTATTTCCAGGAGAATAGATATTATTATAAATTGACATTGCCCCAAGGAAATTCTTCGAAAATGCTCCGATTCCTCTTCGAGCCAACTACGAACAAAAATTCTTGTCGGTGTTCTTCTTCTTAGACGAGGACCCCTCACAGATTCGAAATATGTTTGAGTATTAAAAACGGTCGGTAGAAAGATGTAACAATAGTTTTTAGCGTGTATTTCCCGGCGTGCATCCCGGGAATTACATATATGGCCGATGTATCCACTTCCGTCATCTTGTTCCGCCATGTTCCGCGAGCTGTTGCCACGGAAATGATTTGCCTTCGATGTGCACGAGATTTTCTTTAACCGTGCCTGCGCGATTTGCCACGCGATCTGTCCACCTTAGAAACCTCTTTCCATTCCTAGCTGTAGAGAGGCTGTCGAAACGGCCGTGCGATTTTCTTGCGTTTTCGCGTAGCGTGTAGAGGTTATGCGAGCGAACTGTTAATTCGGAAGAGACTTGTTTAGAATCGAGTTCTTAACTTAAAGGATGACGCAGGTGTCTCTCTTACGACTACATTCGGTGATCACCTAGGATTACGATAATCGCCGCAATGTTTTGAATCCTAACGAGACGTCATTCTCCGCAAAATTTCATTTGGAAGTAGATTTCCCTTAAGTACTCGCTAACTAAGTAGCTATCTGGATCGTTCAAAGTGTTCATACAACACGTGTCTCATATTCAACGCCATTTCGCGTCCTTCTTTCTTTTTTTCAAGTAGGAAAATCACGGAGAAACGTAAACTGATCGCCGTTGTAGTTAAACGTCTATCCGTGAAAACCTATGAAAGACCAAATCGCCCTTAATTAACCAAATAATACATTTCTTCCACCCTCTTGCGACTTCGATTTCCTCATACCGCGCAGGCACGCAGTTTTTCTCTTTTTCATTTCGATAATACTACCCTTAAAGCGTATCGATTATTAAAGCACCATCTAAGTAGTTCTAGGATCTATGAATTAGACAAGCCTCGTTTTACTAGACGATCTTTGCCGCCGCAGAATTATCCCTACTCGGGTTCTCGAAATCGATCGTCGTCGATCACGACCTTCCGAGCGACGCCTTTAGACCCCATTCCCACCCCTTCCTATGAGTATATTGCTTGGCCAAGCGTAAACGACGCTGCACTTGTTGAATTGACTAGTATACCACCACCGTTCTACGTGCCTCGAGTACTCGATCGGTCCCGCGCGTCGTCCATCGACGTCGCTTCGTTCGCGACTAAGGGGGACACGACTGTCTCGCTTAATGTCCGCCCAGCAAAGCTTCACTTCCGTTTCCTATCGTAACCTTAGTATTGACTGGATGCACGTGCCTACGCACACACACATACACACATACACACGCACGCACACACATGCTGGCACAGGACTTAGATCTTACGCGGTAATAATGCTTAAATTCGTAGGTTCCATTTACAGTTCGTCTCGCGTAGAGCGTACTCGGTACTCGCTGGCGACAACGAATCGATAGCTGGCCGGAAATCAAGTCGATTTTTCATAAATATGTACCGTTGTTGCATAAATCAATTACATTGTACCGGCTGAAAGGAGGGTGGATATGAGAATGTGTAGATCAATGGACGATCGGTTTAGAAGGACTTTTTGCAGAGGTTGTTTTGTATATACGAGTAAAATTAAGCGCGGTCGTGGATTTCTCTCACTCGTTTTGCCCTTTCAGCTGATATCTTAGAGCGTTAATATCGAGGACAGTGTTACAATGATACCTAATCTAGTTTTATAGATAAAGCGAAATGATAATTCGAGTAGGGCACTGTTAGATCCATGCTAGCTGAATTTAAAAAGAATTACATTTCTGTAGGTTATATCCAACCCCAGTGACAATTACTCAATAACAATAATTAGATTTTGAAGACATAAGGTGTCCGACGTAACGTCCTCAACATTAACCAATACCCTGCACATAAAGACACCAGGAACAAACATCCCACGAAACCAACGGACAGTTCGAAAGCGCGCTACAGACGAATCGATTCGTCGACGATCGTAACGCGACGATCGTCGTATGCGAGCGGTCAGGCCTACGACTTGACCCAACCACCGAATCTCGAGTACGCTTTACAAAGGTTTTCGTGGCCTCACTTGATCATGATACTCACTGCCGTGGGTCCCTGAGCGATAGCAGTCTCCTTAGAGGCCTCCTCGACCTCTTTGAGCTTCTCCTCGGCCTTGCGTTCCTTCAACGCCTTCAGTAGCTTCCACTTGGATCCAGGGGGGCCAGGGCTGACCTGGCCCTCCTTAAGCGTCGTGTCCGAGCTACCGCAGGACGAGGTGTCGATTTTGATTTTCGGCAGGCTCAAGGTCGCGGTAGTGGCCGTCTCGGCGCTACCGGCACCGTCGCGCTCGAGGCCTTCAAGGACAGTGCTTTCCGACTCCCAGGCGCCCGGTATGCTGACGGACACCTCGCTAGGTGGTACGCTAACGCTATCCTCGCGTGATACGGACTCTGAACCGGGATGAATTTTTTCACCGTGTCGCAGAGTCGAGCCGCTCGAGCTCCGTCTCGACTGTTGTTCGTCGATGTCCTTCTGCATCTCGTCCTCCTCTTCTTCGTCCATGGACTGAACGGGACTGTCTGGTCCCGAGGTTTCGCCGGACGAACCCTCCTCCATAGAGGACGGTGGTTTTTCCTGTCTGATCTCCTCCTCTTGCGCCCACGTATTGTAATCGGTTACTCTGGCGAACACCTGCTCGATGCTCTCGGCGGATTTCCGTTTCGGTATGGGTTTCTCGTCACGGTATCTGTCTCTCTCGTCGATACGACGATCCTTCGCGATGGTCCCGTTCATTTTCGCAGATCTCACCTCCTCTCGGTCTTGTTTCGCCTCGTTGGTGATCGTGCTCGCCTTTAGCTTCAGCTCTTTCAGCACGAATGACATCTTCTCTTTTACGGCGTTGTCCGGCTGATAGTGGTCAGCCTCTTCGGGTTCCTCTACCAACACTTCACCCATCTCTACCTCTATTTGCGACTGGCGTTCCATCTCCTCGAGTTTCCTCAGTTCGTATCGGTACCATTCATCTTCGGAATCGATCGAATCCTCCGTACTCTGCCGCCTGGACGAGACCCTCGACGTGCTGCGATAGGAATGCGTGCTACGGTTGTCTTCCTCGAGCTCGCCCGCTCTCGCCCCGGTCCATGGAATTTCGAGGGATTGCTGGTGCCGCGGTAGGAATCGTGTGCCCGTCGATAGGCCTCTCGTGCTTGATGCGGACGGGCTTCCCTCCGACGGTGGTGCTTCCTCGGATATGCTGGTCACCAATTCCGGTAATCTTGTGCTACTGGATTTCTCGCTCTTCTCGCTTTTCTCCGACATATCCTCCGGATATTCGAAACTCGTTTCGAGGGTCTGCGGGGTACCCTCCTCGGATTTTTTATCGTTCAGGGATTCCTCGCTGGGCGGCTGTTCGTCGGACACCGTCGACGACTGCCTCTGACGGTACTTGCCTAACGCTCTGGAGACAGCGAACTCCATGCTTGCTCCGCCCATCAGAGTTACCGGTGGAAGCTTCGGGGCTTTCTCATTGGGAGCTTCGTCAGAACTACCCGTCGATCGCTTGATGTCACCGACCGTTTGGAATATGGAGGATCCACCTGAACCGGATCCGGTACTTTTACCGGAGGTTTCCTCCTCGAAACCGCCCATTTGATCGACGTCGTGATCAATCTCCTTTCTTTGATCCTTCTCTTTGGCCCAGCCATCCTGAAGGGCTTGTTGTTGTAATTGTTCCTGGTGCTGTTGAATCTGCTGTTGGAGGGCTTGTTGTTGTTGCTGGAGCAGCTGCTGCTGTTGCTGAAGATTCTGCTGGTGCTGTTGTTGCTGTATGTAGTCTTTTTGTTGTTGGGTAAACTGAGCGGGTAGCTGTTGCTGCTGGGGTATCGGTTGAGATATCGGTTTCCGTTTCGTGCTCGCCGTCTTCACTTTGGCGAAGAACGGTGGCTCCTGGTTCACGTCGGACATCACGCTGTCCTCGTCTTCCGAGAGGCCACTCTGTCTACCGCTGCTCCACTCGGTTTCCGATTGCTCCGGATCGGAGAGGGACTGCGATTGATGGCTTCGTCTCTTTGCTTTCTGTAGAATACCCGACACCGTGGACACTAGCGTGTGTTTCTTCTTTTTTCTGACTGCTTGACCCCTACCACGTCCTCTGGTGGTATTAACGTCAGTGGCAGGCCTCTGTTGTTGTTGTTGTTGTTGTTGTTGCTGTTGTTGTTCCTGAGGCCCGTCTAAGTCCTCCCTTCTGACACCACCAGGCAAAGAGTGACTTCTGTGTCGTTTGCTAAGGTGCAGGTCGGGTAGCCAATTGCTCATCGAGCTCATCGCGTTTTTCAACGACGAACCTCTTCTGATTTTCTTCGCAGCCTTTGCGTTCTCGATCTCGTGATCCTTCAAGTTCGAGGAGATGCTTATGTATCCAGATTGCGATACTATGACACTCGAGGCGTCGTAGTACTCGCTTTGTTGGTGTTGCGACTGATCGATGGTCATCCGGCTGGTGTCGTGATCTTGTATGTATTGATGTTCCCGTTGCCATTGCCTCTGGTAGCCGTCAGCGAGTTGCGCGCTCTCGGAGCTACTCAGTCTTTGGCTATACGGCTGATACTGTTGTTGGTAGGCCTGCGGGTAGTTCTGGTTCGCATACGTGTGATGATACTGGTGACTCTGGTAGGCCGGCGGTTGAGGGTATCTTCGGTCCGTGTAGATCGGAGGTCAACGATCTGATGCTCGAGGACGTGGAATCATGAGGTATCTGATCCTCCATCGAGTTCAGCCACGAATTTTCGTTTGTCTCTGTTCGGGGCAGGTTCGCGCTTGTCGGGTAGTAGGACAAAGCATCGGTGATATTCCCCGTGGGAAACATTGTGCGGTACAGCGCGGCTTTGTAGCTTTCGTGATTCGTCAGCCCGTCCGAGTACACGCTGCTTCTCAGAGGTTTCTTCACGTGGACTACTCCGCTGGATTCCGTGTATTGCACGGAACCGAAATTCTCCTGGTAACTGTTGTACTGTTCCATCGAGTCCGAGTAAAAAGCGGTTGTCGTAGTCTTCGGACCGTAACTACCGGAACCACTGGTGTAAACGCTGGTGATAGCTTGTTGTCGATTGCTACCGGCCACGGAGTAAATGGCCGGTTGATCGGATCGAAACACGTAGTCCAGGGTACATCCAGGTGGCACGGAGTCGTAGGTGTGCTGGAGGGTCTGATGACGAGTTCGTTTTTTGGGACTTTGGCAGGTGGTCGCGATGGGCGCTGGCGGAGGCACGAAGTTGTAATCATCTTTGGTAGTTGGGGTCTTCATGATAGCGTAGTTCGACAGGTGGTTCATGGTTATGGCGTAAGAATGGCTGGTGACCATGGCTGCCGCGCTGGCGAACTGATCTCTACCTTCTGGCGTGTCGTACAACGGCTCCTGTGTGATCACCGTGGTTGTAGTCTCTGGAAGAGGTGGTATTGGACTGGCGGACCGGATCGTGCTGGTAGTCGGGATCAGAGTTGATCTCGCGTGATCCATCGAGTACGAAGTAAGCATCCTGCTGATCGTGCTCTTTGGGGAACTTGGCGATTTGTCCAGGCTGCTCCATCCGCTCATGGACGATAATCCTGAATCGGATTTTGCCGCGACTATGTTCGCTACGCTGCCAGGCTTGATTATGTGCTTAGGGGATACTCGAGGTGATTTGGGCGAATGAGGAGTTCTAGGACTCAAACGACCCTGTTCCAAGGACGCCAGTTTCTCGGCGCTCCTTAAGAACGTAGGGCTCTGAGTTCTCTTCATGTCGACGTCTCTTTGATCCGATCCTGGCATCAGGAACGTCTCCGCCGAGTCTCTGGGAGCTGGTGGAGGCGGAGAACTTGGCGACGGGCTGGGCGGTGTTCTGCTTTCTTGGAACTCGAGGTTCAGTCTCGCTGCACTGCCGAAGTAGCCGTCTTGCCTGGTTCGTAGACTCTGCACGCTGTGGACGCTGTGCACACTGTGTACACTACCTGCTGAGAGAGTCGGCGACGGAACCTTATCCATGGTGGTGCTGTAAATAGTCGGAGAGGCGCAAGTCACAGCCACGAAGCTCTCGACCATCAGGTCCGTTAGCTCCTTGTTCTCTGCATAGCTTTTGGCGAAGCTACCAACGTCTATGGGTATCTGGATCACCGGTTCAGGACTCTTCTCCCGTACGGTAGAGGTGTAGCTGAGTCTAGGCGGCGTGTAAGCATTCGAGATGGAATCCAAATTCGTTCTAGATGTAGACGTTAATCTAGGTGAAATGGATCTGGTGGTGAAGTCACCGTCGGTCGCTAAACCGCTATCGGTGCTCACTCTAGAGATCGATCTACCGGTCGAACCAGGACTCTTCGAGAAAGTCCAACTGTCAACGTCGGTCTCGGCGTATATCTTCCTGAGCTGCTCGTCTATGCTACTCGCTTCTTCCGCCAGTTTCGCCTCGGCTTCGGAGTTGTACTGTCTCTTCGGAGAGTCCGTTAATTGAGACTGCAGTTCTATCAAGTTCTGAGAGTCCTTTTGCAGCTTGCTGGTCAACCTGTCCAACTCGTGCAACTTCTCTAGAGCCACTTGATCGATGGAACTGAGCCTGGAGAGCTGGGCAAGGTCTTGTTCACTGACACAGGGCGTGTTGCCTCGGTAGCTCTTGTAGTCCTCCGCGCTGAACACTTCACCCTCGTCCTCGTCTGCTTCGTCCTTTTTCTGTATCGCTGCTTCTTGAATCTCCTCCTTCGTCGGTTTGCTGGTCAGCTCTTCGAGCTCTTTCTCCTTTGCCACGGCCTTCTCAAAGATGCACGACGCATCAGCATCCTTCTTCCCATTGATATCCTCGTCCTCCGCCTCCTCCCAGATCATCCCTAACTGCGACGTCGGCCTGGACGTGTCGCCGCAGATCAGATCTTCTCTGTAAGCGTTGTTCAAGCTCCTGTAGAACGCCTCGTCCGGAATGTTACTCTCTTCCGCGAGAGTCTCCAGAGCGTCTAGGTTTCTCACATTTCGGTGCATGTCTGTGACCACCGCGGCAGCTGTCGAGCTGTCCTGCGTGAGCCCGTGCATCCTTGCCAATTCTTGATGAGCGATCTTCTCCCTCAATGCGTTCGTCTCCTCGATACCCATGCTGGCGCCTATGCTCTTTGCGATCGCGTCCAGCTCTCCTACCGTGCCCTGCTGGCTGGCCAACGTTTGCTCGACCACGTTAACGGTCTCGTGGGAACTGCCGCCGCCGCCGCCGCCGCCGCCTGTGTAGAATTCGATCAGCTGACTGATCACCGTTTGCTGTTCGTAAAGAAGGCCCTCTAGCTTCTCCAGCCTCTCCCACATTTTAATGTACTCCTGGCTGAGGAGATCCAACGCTCTCCAAGCGTACTTCAGCTCAGTTTCGAGTATGTTCAATCTCGTACCAAGCCTCTCCATGTAATCACCGATCACGTAGTCGATAGCCCCATCCGTGGCGGCGGTCGTGGTGGTAGTGGCGGTAGCGGTGGTGGTGGCGCTGTAGGTCGGCATCGCTGGCGAGTGAGCCCTCGGGCTGGTTGGGGCTGGCCCACCCAGCTTCGTCGAGTCCATTTTCATGAAGTTCGCGTACGAACGACGCGGCTTCTCGGTCTGCCACACCTGTGCACCACACCTATGCTTTCACGATCCGACAATCGGATTCAGGCTCGCGACGATCCCCTGGACGATTCATCGCGCGTATCCCGTGAAACGATATCGAAGTTACAGTCTTCCCTGGGGCCCGAGAAGGAACATGAATGACGCTTGAACGTATCTAGCGGAGGCGTTAGATGCTCGAAAAATCGAACGATACTCGAATCCACTTCGCCTGGTTACGATCTCCATGTCGAACTTTTTCGTTCGCTCACACTTGACACACGTTCGTCGAACCGTACACTTTGTCTTGTTCTGTTTTTCGATATTTTTGTTTTTGTCCGTTTCGTTTATGTTATATTGTCAGTCACTTTGTCTCTATCCTCCTGTACGCTGCGATCCACTATTTTTCCCGTATTTTGTTTCGTCTACACACTACCGCTGCATACACAAAGTTTCATAGTTGCCGACCGCGATCTTGGTGAATCGTTTGAGATCGCGCGACACTCGGCGGATGGCACTTCGTAACCAGTCCCGTGTGTTCATCCCGCTGCCGGTATCTGGAAAACAGGAGCAAACGGATTGCGTGGCTTAGTACGAGGGCGGCCCCTCGTACCGAGTCATTCGCTGACACAGTTTCCATGGTGCTAGGACTTATGCTATTTCAGTGTGTGCATCTTATTTGAAATAGTACTTCGTTAAAAAGATCCGCCTATATCCACGAGGCTCGAATCAACTTCTGATTCGCTGTATTTAGACCTTAAGCTTGTTTCTTGTCAACGGGCAATGATAACGAATAAGCAGTTGGCACATTGACCTCCGAGCCGAATAAAAATAAATTTATCTGGATTTTAAAAGTTTGCTTTTAAACATTGATCTTTTAATATAATATTTTTATCGATATTGTTCGCTAAATGACGGCGTGGTGGTCAATGTTTTGAAAATTTGTGGATTATTTTACAAAAACAAATCTCAAAGGTTTTATCAGGGGAAAAATTAAAATTCCATTGAACATATAAATCTTCATGGTCTGTAAATAAAGAATATTAAGTTCTAGTTTCTTACTTAGAAAGGTTTGGAAGACAGCAAGAATTCTAGTGGGGTTAAAGAACACACACAAGGGATTTTAATGATGAATGATTACGAAGAGGGAGATAGAGGTATTGAGAGAGAGGGTGGGGGGAAGAGGGAATACATAAAGAAATCGATCGAAGTGGAAGCAAGTATGCGTGTGAACGTCAGAAGAAGTTTCTGAGTGTCGTAGCAAAAGTTGGAACGAAAGTTCGTCGGAGTGACAGAATGGGAACCGTGCCAAAGACTTGCAGAGTACCACAAAATCATAGAAGTGAGTTCAAGGTTTAACAAACTATTCGTACCCTTTGTCTGGTACTCTACGAAAACATTTCCTCATTAATTTCCTAGTAATAATAATAAAATACAGATTACTGAACTTGGATAGCGTGTGAGAAGATGTACATTTCAATCTTTGCTGGTAGCACAGTGTCAATCAATGTCCAAGTTGAAATCTTTCTTGAACATAGTAACCTCAATATCATACTGACATACTATTTACTACTCAGAATTAAAGAATTAATTTTCAATGTGAGGTATCAATGATTATAAACTTCGATGCGTTTATAAATTAAGGAATTATGATAAATTCGAATTCATTAAGTTGTTATACTGTTCAACTAGGGTTCCTTGGGAGTTTTTGAAGATATTTGTCTGAAAGCTGAAGCGTTAAGCGCGCCTTCGAGAATGACGCTGAAATTTCAATTTGTCTTAACGCCGAGCAGCTGTCGTATAGCGTCTGTAATCTGGATGCAAGGGATTTCTTACCCGGGAAACAGGAATTCGATATCATTAGGGGGTGTACTCAGGTGTTGCTCGAAATCGTGGTTAATCGAAATGCACATCAGCAGGATGAAGTGCGTGAAAGCTTCGCATGGAATAATTTTTGTGGTTCGGGCAACACGTAAGCACGTGTCGGTATCGATTACAGGTCGAGACGATGTACCAGTCAGATTTAATTTGTGGATTTACTCGCGAATCTTCACCAACCACTTGAAATCAAGTTAATTAAGAATGTTCTAGATTTTTAATGTTCAAAGTATAGTAATTGTTGATCGTATTTCAGCAAATTTACAATTGTTATTCTATGTGAATTGCGATCTAGTTAAACCATCTTCATCAAAATGTAAATCGATAAATGTCTTCATTAACGACGAAGACGAGTAACATCATTATTTATCAAGATCCTATATGATATACCGAATGTGTATCATTAATTTATCAGCAAACGTGGTGCAACACAAAGCTTATCGTAGTCCAGCAATAAAGTCAACGATGATTACTCTTTCTCTAATATATACAAAAATTCTTCGAAAACAGATTAATGATTTTAAGCCACAGATGTCCGAACGTTGGGACTCATGATAGCAAATTCATTACGTACACTTGGAAGGAACCAGTTGCCAGTTGTTCGTTCAATAAACCCAACGATCCCAAAGTAACATAATACTTTTTCCATTGATTGGACAGATGTCCAAACGATTGCCCAATTAGATCAGTTATGGATAGAAAAAAAGAAACGTTTGGACACTTGGTCTACCTTGACGAGTGTCGTTCGAATGAAATTCCCGTTCCAGATCCGCGAATTAAACGATCTCGCGTGTATCATCGATTCGTGTTCAGGGAGGGAGAAGCTGTTCGCTGGGCTAGCATTGATCCAGCGAACGGGCACGATTTCGATCAGCCGCGGGCAGCACGCGTACCTACTCCCACGAAAGAAAAGAGGATCAAAACAACCGTTGATGACCCGGAAACGAACGTACATATGTGTCCTCGTATGGCCGACCGCCGAACGATTTTCTGGGCTTTCATCGCCGACACGCGAATTCCCCAGGCCCTTTTCACGCGGCTTTTAGACGCGTTTCCCTTCCTCCGGGTCACCCGTTAGGGATAAGGTCTTTATGAAGCACATAAAATTAGAGGCAGAGTAATTACAATAGTTATACGGGGTAAACCACGAAACGTGATCAGCTTAAATTCTTCTACTGCCAGCTGTTCGATTGAAAATTTGAATTATAAATAGAATTAATCAGTCGTTTCTAAACCGTTCAGGCAAGTGTATTGCAACTGATGGATATCATTTCGAGCATCGTTTTAATTAAGGTATATGGTATTTTTTTAATGCTTCGTTGGTTTAGACGAAAAAAAATTGTTTATTGTAATGGCTCGAATGTGTCTGAGTATTCGCTAAAAGAAACGCGTACAAAAATTATAGGTTTATCTACAAAAAAAACTGAAGGTGACCCTGAAAACTCTGGAAAAATTGAGTTGACAAAAAATTCGGTTGCAATTACCTTGAAATTATTAGCGCAATATTAGGTGTGGACAATTGGTAATTTTAAAGACATAATCAATTGAAAATTACGAACCTTCAAGATATACTTATAATGTAAGTTAAAGTTATCGAAGTTACGTTGGCAAAGTAAAAAAAAAAAAATTTCGATAAACGGGAATCGATCCAAGGTCTTCCGATTTTCCAGTCAAACAACCTTATACTTCGATAAGTTTCAATTATATTCACAGTAGTTCTTAAAGGTATGTAATTTTAATTGTTTATTGGTATATTTAAAATTGTCGAGTGTCTACACCTAATATTTATTATATATCATTATGTACCTAGATACTATCACCTTACAAAAGCCCGTTAAAATCGATGGTGAACAATGAGGGTCCATCGTTTGTGAGGCTTAGGGTTATTACTTGCCCACCAAACACGACAAACCTATACCTTATCCAATGAGTCGAGTCACTAACAAAGGGAAATGATGGCCATGTAGGTGGGATAGGGACAGAGACCGTTGCCAGTCTATACCTGAGCTTAGGACGCGAATGTTTTGGTTAATTCTATTGACTTGCCTTTTTGGGTGAACCATAGTACATACATATAATACCGACAAAGCTACAGTCGCAATAGTAGTACTCAGAGTCTCTCGTCGGTATCACGTTCGCTTCAATTCGCGAAATAGTGTCACATACTTGTTGTATCCGTTTGGAAATACGGTTTCTTATTGAAATTTCAATACTGTAGTTTTCATATATTTCAATAGTGTAGTTTTATAAATCATTCTTAACATGTAGTTGAAAAGCATATTGTGTGGAGGAAGTTCGTTCAGTTTGCAGTGAGAATCATCAGACGATGTGAGTACCTACACCTATTTTAATTGTACTGTTTTTAGTCGGTATATGACAGAATGTTCGTGATATTACTTGTAAGATTTTATGAATTCGTAATTTTTTGAAGGATCGTTACAAAGTAGCTATTATAACTCTTGCATACGTCAGTTCTGTTCCGAGCATCAAAGATCTTGCATGCACGGATATACATTTATAAAATTTTATGTTTTTCTCCCCTGAAAATAATAATATTTTCATCCGAATGGTGGTTTCACGCGTAAATGTTAGACACAGTTCCAAATCGTCTAGAGAGAACGTAATATTTGTAATGGGGAAAAAAAGAAAACAATTCTTCGTTCACAGTTTCGATCTGCTTTTATTCGGAAAATAAACCACCTTCAGGTTGAACTATGTTTCCATCCAGTCCTTCGATAGAGACCTCCTACCAACCATTTCCGAATCACTAGTACACTTGACGGTGTATATACAAGCATGAAGACTCGACTAAAGTGTATTTGCTCAAGCATGAAATAGTTCTCCTCGTCTCTTCAGATATAGTACTTATTTCAACCATATTTTCCCTCTTCGCATATCCACCCTCTCCCCACCCCTCCCGTTTCCAGAGTAGATTTTACATTGTTTTCTAACTCGCGCCCTTGCGATTGAACAAACATTTATACGTTCCGTGTCTTCCATGGATTATTATCTGCCGCGAATATATATGAGCCACGCCGGGCTTTCCACTGTAAACAACGGAAAATCGATAGCCCGCTGCGTAAATATTCCTACGCGGC